ACAAAAATTTTAATTTAAATTACTGATCTGTCTAAACATAGCCCGTCAAGCCCCAAATTTTGGAATGACTCCTTGAAAAGCCCGATTTATTCTGGATTGTTTGGTAATTACGTCCGATTTTTACTCACCGATTTTTCAAAAATATAAAACGCGACAACGAGGAAACTGAAAACATACTTTATTGAAATTGCGACAAGTAACCTCGTGCTGGTTTGTAAAAGTGGGGGAAACAATTCATACAAAATATGTTGACAAAAGTTATAAACCTTCAGCGCTGACGCGCAACCTAAGTACGGACCCCCGGTGCGGCTCGCGGTGCTGCTCGTGGAGGTATGTAGATCAAAATGGGTTCAGGAACTTTTCAGAATCGTACTACCGTGAAACTACCTGGCTAAAGGAGCCGGCCACAGCCCCGGCCTTCTTAATCAATGCTTACTTTTTTAGGAGTCTGCCTAGATGAATTTAATACCGCAAAGTGCGTCTTTCTTGCAAGATTTCTTATAGAAACTGAGCAAAATTTCAATTGCGTTTGTAACGTGCACCTTCCTCTCTTTTTTGGGTTCTCTTTTTGTGTCGAGGCGATGTAAACGCCCATCAGGAACCAATATCTACAGTCGCTTTGGTAAATGTGTCCTTATTTATATTTTACGGTGAGAAAACGAATTTTCCCTTTGAACATTTGACATAGTACCGGCGTCTGGAGCTAGATGGCGCAAGCGGGCCATGTCCCTGATTGTTGGGAATGTCGCCGACTGAAAGGCGCTAGACGGGGCTAGTGCCCAATAGTTTTACTTTTTTCTTGGCTATACATTTTTTATTGCAGTTATGCTCAAACTATTTACTTCAGTTTTTGTCGCCCAACACAACAATGGCATATTTCAAAACGGCATCCGTAGAATAAACGGTCTACAGTCTAGACAGAAAAAAATCGAAGTGGTAAAACATTTTGACGCGCACAAGATAGAAGTAACACCCAGCTGCCACAAACAAAAAATGAAGGATCAAAGTTGACCATTTTCCGCATTTTCATTAAAAGTTTACGCGAGAAAGGTGCGATCTTGTTGCGCTTGGATTAAAAATATGAAGCAATTGTTGTCACTACAGTAGTCACAACAAATACCGCAGCGACAACAGATGTCCGAGTGGAGAAGACGTGCTGAGGACCCGACAAAGGAGCTTCCCAGCCTCAGTCGCTATTAATGATGATCCCCAGGGGAATGCCAGCTAAGCACATTCCCACGTGAATTATTAAATACTGCAAATTTTTTTTTCAGACCGGGGGCGGGGGTTCAGCTTGCTCAGATATTCCATTATCGTTCAGCAAGCAATAGTCTACGACGCTTTACTGAAATCACGCTACGCTTTACTTTTTCGCAAAAGCACTTGGCTGAATCAAACGCTGTCGGAGTGAACGTGGCGAATGGCGAGCGCTACATTTGGGTGCAAAGCAAGCTTTCCTCGATGCGTAATATATTTTTGCAACTAAAAAAAAAGAACTTTATTTTATCCGATTGCGGTTGATTACGTCCTCCCGGAGCAATCATTACTTTATTTCAAGACTTTCTATTTATTAATATTATTCTTAGTTTTCAGTAAACTATTCGGTTTACCGAATGTATCACAAAACGTAAGATGGATGTGGTGTTAATTCCCGATAGTGTTACATACATATGTACTCGTATATGGTACGTGTTACGTGTTACATACATATGTACTCGTACATGTATTCAAGACTTACCCGCATAGATGTTTCGGTACCCATTTCGCACAAACTTCCGAAAACCAATTCTGTCGTGGAGTGTTACATAGGCAGAGCTTTGAGTGATTTAGAAACGATTTGCCACATGATCCACTGTCTCGCCTACATACGACAGTGTCAGTTCACGTGCACACTGAATGTTGTCATCGGTCGGGGATGCGAACGGGCGTCCTGCTCCATCCCCATGAACGACACTCGTGCATCCTTCCTTGCACTTGCGTATTTATTCGAGCACAGTTCTTCACGACAAAACACTTCCTCCATGTTGACAACAAATTACCGCCACCAGACACAATTTCAGAGTGCAAAAACAAATCACGGAATGCTGCTCTTCCTCTTTGCGAATCGCAAGTGGGGCAGCCGTCACTTCTTGTACCGCAGTCACAACTGAACTGACGCAACATGTTCGAACCTGCACAGCAGTGATTGAAAGGTACGTACCTGGTACGAAAATCGCCGATAAAACAGTGCCGCTAATAAAAGCTTTAAGATAACCAGAGTGCGGTTAAGTTTTGAGTAACCTGTAAGCGACTCAAGGTCACCAGGTATCTATAGATGTCTGATGATGGAAACATCATTCCAATGCACGTCGCCTTCTATACCCAGCACACAGAACATGTTAACATCGTTCGCGACATTACGTGAACGGAAGCAATTGCTAGAGGGGTGTCCTTCAGTGTCAGCCGGGCGTAGTAAGGAATACCCCGACGGTGTGATCGGCGGACCACCGCATGCATGACGACGTTACGTGGACATCCAAGGTTGCTCTTGTCGTTAGCTTACTGTCGCCGGTGCAATCGTGGCCGTCGGAGAAAACAAACCTTACGTGCTGTTTCTGGGAAATGTGAGTGGCGAGCGAAGTGTTACGAGTCGTCGAGCAGGCAAGCGACGCGTGGCCACCGCCAAAACAGGTTATCTCAAGACGAGTCGCTGTGACCGCGACCACGAGTACTCCCCATACCAGATATTAGAGTGGAAAGATGCTATTGAAGGGAGTAGAGTGTCCTCGCAGTATCGGCAGTATAGTGTCGAGTCTAAAAAAATATATATATTATTTGAATTGAAGCGCGAAAAAGGTACGTGTATTCCAGTTTTTGATATTGTTTTGTTTATTAGTTTTTTAGTGGTTCATTTTGTCGAAAACAATGATGGGGCAGCGTGCCATAATCAGGTGCATTGCGCAGCGCAAGTTCGTCTGCTACTTGCGCAAGGGTTGCGGCGACGTAAGAACGCCGAGCTCTGATTTGCTCCGACTGGATGGATAGTGGGTAGACATGAAGGCAGCTAGCATTGAGGTCTGCCCTCTATCCCTCCAATCAGAGCCAATCAGAGCTCGGCAATTTGAAGTCACCTCAACAGCCTGCAAAAGAAGCAGATACATTTGCGTTCCGCATCGATTTGAAATCAAATGAGCCTCGTCGCGTTATATGGGGTTATTTGCTGTTCGTACTGACCGACAACTTAAGAAACAATGGGCGTGGCAAGTAGCGGCATCTCATTATCGCTCAGCATCCAATGAAATTGCTGTATTTTCCAATAAGGACGCCGAAGAGCCAGTCGCAAAGTGATCGGCGTTCCCATGAGACACGCCCTTCGTTTCTGAATCAATCTGTGACTATATTTAGCATAGTTCTTTTTATCGCACATTGTTTTTTTTTCTTGTTTTTTTTTTGTTTTTTTTTTAAGATAGGGTCGCCTTGCAGATTATGCTGCTCTAGACGCAAATATAACTTTTCGAGATTCCATTTCACGTTTATCTTTATGAACCAGACCACCGAACTATATGACGCCTGCTGTACTTTCTTGACCCGCCAGCCAGATATTTTGGAGCATGAGGGAAGGTGGGCATGTTTAAAGTTATGCAGGTTTCACAGAGATAGATTAGAAATTAGAAATTAGAGATAGATAGATAGATAGATAGATAGATAGATAGATAGATAGATAGATAGATAGATATAGAGAGACGGACGGACGGACGGACGGACGGACGGACGGACGGACGGACGGACGGACGGACAGACAGACAGACAGACAGACAGACAGACAGACAGACAGACAGACAGACAGATAGATAGATAGATAGATAGACAGACAGACACACAGAGAGATAGATAGACAGATAGATAGATAGATAGATAGATAGATAGATAGACAGATAGATAGATAGATAGATAGATAGATAGATAGATAGATAGATAGATAGATAGATAGATAGATAGATAGATAGATAGATAGAAAGATAGATAGATAGATAGAAAGACAGACGGACACACAGAGAGATAGATACACAGATAGATAGATAGATAGGCAGATAGATAGATAGATAGATAGATAGATAGATAGATAGATAGATAGATAGATAGATAGATAGATAGATAGATAGATAGATAGATAGATAGATAGACAGACATATATATATATGGATAGATAGATAGATAGATAGATAGATAGATAGATAGACAGACAGACAGACAGACAGACAGACAGACAGACAGACAGATAGATAGATAGATAGATAGATAGATAGATAGATAGATAGATAGATAGATAGATAGATAGATAGATAGATAGATAGATAGATAGATAGATAGATAGATAGATAGATAGATTGATTGATTGATTGATATTGTTTGTTTGTTTGTTTGTTTGTTTGTTTGTTTGTTTGTTTCACTAGATTTCGAACGGTCGAAAATTAAAGTAACGTGGAGTCGTTTTGTTCCGAGACCTAATAGACGAGCGCACACCTTCGGTGACGTGGTTGCTGTTCGAAGTGTCTCTGAGATAGACAGGTGACCGTCTTTTTAGAAGGAGTAGTGTGTCGAAACAGCTGCATTTAACAAAAGCTATATAAACATGCCTTTAAATAACTGTCAGTGACAATAGTGAACCTTCTGATTTGAATTGCTTATAACACACTGACATAAATCGCCTGTTCATGTTTTGACGTTTTAAAATAACGCGTTATTTAACTTATTTTCGAAATTGTTTAGTTACAAGTTTAAGGCTCGCTCTTACCGTTGAGCAGGCTTTAGATCAATCCAGAAGGTGTATATACATTTTGTTGATTTTGGGCTCTAGTATATGGCGTTCAGAAAACAACGTTATATGTATTGTTAGAATAATGGTGACGACAATTTCATTTCAGATCTGTTGTCTGCGTGTGTGTGTGTGTGTTGTTGTTGTTGTTTTTAGAACGAAAAATACAGACCATAATGATGCAGCCCAGCCAGTTACGTGGCATATGAACTTAGATATTCAAACAAACAAGGCCGTTCTCAACGGTGAGATATTTTGAGTCCACCACCTGACTTGGGGTCCGAATTCGAAAAAGAACTACGTGTACCAAGTTAACAAGTAAATATCGACGCTCGGGTCGGCGCGTTTTCATGAGAGTCACACTCCCAGGTTTACGGAGGGAGCGAGAAAAAGAAGAAGTTGAGGCTTAGGTAAACACGCCTCAGTGATTAACGCACTATTCTTTAACCAGCTCCAAGATTTGCTTACGCTCGTCTCGTAAGCAAATCTGACAGCCGGCTATAGGCTAGCGCGTGAATCACTGAGGTGTGGTTATCTAAGCCTCAGGATCTCCACCTCCTCCCTCCCCCCACACACAAGGCAATGAGACGTCCACGAAAACGCGCCATCCAGAGGTCCTAAGTTGACCTGTTGATTTGCATCACGAGCTTTTAAATGTACGACCCTCCGGTTATAAAGCATAAAAGTGACGTAATTTTTTTTTTCAGGAGCAAACATATTAGATATGCCTTCGGCGCCCAACAACAACACCGATGAGGCCAATAACAATGCGCCAAAGGAGTGCGTAAAGGTTGCGGAAGCGGAGAGCCACAGACTCAAACGTGAAGTGGGACTGGTGAGCGCTACGGCACTTCTCATAGGAAGTGTTATCGGTAAGAATGTTGCTCATTTCGGGCTTGTAAGGTAGGACCGATAGCTTACCTGACGACGATAACACACAAAAAAAAAAGTAAAACAAAAACGGCCTGATTCGTTGTCGTGGTTTGACAGCCGGATGTTAGTCCGCCCCAAAGGGCTTCTGGTGTCTCAGCTGTGGATCAGCAATTTAGCCAGTGCAGTACAACCGTTAGCCTGGTGTCTTTAACGTAGATCAAGCAGTAGTGATACACGACCGCACGCCAGTACGATGTTCATCGAGATCGAAACGGGCAGGGGTGGGGATTGAACCCGGGACAGGTTCTCTGCAGTGCACCCCCCCCCCCCCCCCCGAATCCCCCACCCCGTAAACCACGCGGTAACACCGGGCTCTAAGACACTGTTCCTGTTTGAAATTGGTCTTAACGGTGTAGCGTCGGCATGTACTTTTATGCGAAAGAACCGCCAACTGCGCTTAACTGTAAAAGAAAAAAACTATGCCAAATGTTGAAGGTCGAAGTTGAGAAACAAGACTCCCAAAATCAGTGCGCTACTCGTTTTCAGGTTCAGGCATATTCGTGACACCGAGCACGGTTTTTCGAAATTCCGGTTCCGTCGGTGTTGACGTGATCGTCTGGTCTGCGTCTGGCATCATCACTATTATAGGTAAGCCCTCTTAACAGTGCGTATATACTCTGTGTCAACTGCCAGCTGGAACCTTCTATAAGGAACAAGAAAATAAATACCCTCGTGGCACCTTATGGTAACTGACAGCCTAAGCCACAGCCAAACTGCTCTCACGCATCATACAAAAAACATGGTGTTATTTGCGGACCCGATGAAAGACATATCCTCGGACACGTCCCAAGCGGATTTTTGAAGCATACTAGCTTAATAAATAACTATATATATACATACATATATATATATATATATATATATATATATATATATATAAAACTGAGAAGAAAAAACCCTTAGTGAAAAACAGCAACAACGGACGATTTAATCTTAGACGTTTCGGCCGGAGTCCGGCCTTCGTCAGGAAGACGAAGAATATATATATATATATATATATATATATATGCGTATACGTCTCGGGCCTTTCTGCAGACAGTTTGTATTGTACACCAGTGAGCGATATGCAGGTGAACAGCCCTCGTCTTGTTTTTGACGCTCCTGCAAGTTTTGGAACAAGCTCTGTTCCAGAAGAGGGCTAGAACGCAAAGTTTAGATCCCCAAGTCACGTACCATTCGAGGCGTTGTGGGTTAATGTAGTTTTAGGGAGCCGTAAAACAAACAAGAAACCAGGTAAGGTGCTCACCTTCGTATTGCCGGCGGGTGTACGACCAGTGTGCCAGAAGCGTCGTACAAGCAAGAAACACACCTCAGAACAGAGAGTCTTTTTGTACAACATATTAGCAGACGCCGAGCGTGGCAAGTCCTAAGCGTCTTAAAATCGTTCCGGAGCCAATGGCTCTGCACAGCGCAAGTTCGTCTGCTTCTTTTGCGGGAGTTGCTGTGACGTCAGAAAGACGCCGAGCTCTGATTGGTTCTGACTCAAAGATAGTGGGTAGACCTCAAAGCAAGCTGCCTCGAGGACAACCCACTATTCTTCATTCAGAACCAATCAGCGCTCGGAGTCTTCCTGACGTCATTACAATCTTCTGCAAAAAAAAAAAAAAAGTGGACGAACTTGCGCTCCGTATAAGTATGCATGGACGCGACCGAAGCGTATATCGAATCGAGAGCGGACCCATGTCGCGCACCCAATCCTCTTCTCTCTAGTTCCCTTACACCCGATCTTAAACCCGAGGGTCCGCTCTCCTTGAATAGCTCGTTTTCGCCCACTCTTACGCCCGACCGTTGTTCGTAGAATCCCGACTTGACGCACAACGGTCGCATCCGTGTAAATGCGTGACCGATTACATTGTGGTATTATCCCACAAAATCGCCCTGAAGAACAAATTTAAAAAAAACTATATTCATCGACAACTTAAGAAACGCCGGGGCGTGGCTTATTATATTAATTCACGCTACTTGCTTCGTGATTGGTTCTTCGGCGTTCTTATCGGCGAATTCCGCGTCCTGATTCGCTGCGAGGCAATAGCGAGATGCGCGGGATTCGCCACGTTCAGCATTTCTTCAGCTGTCGGTGACCAAAGAAGTGCGGAGAGAATGCGTCAGGCAATGTGTTTCTTAAGATGTCAGTAATTCTTTCAACAACAATTCTAACTTTTTTTTTAGGTTATTAAAACTTTGTCACATCTTCGAAAAACCCAGGCTTTGATCTCTCCGGCCATGATATTTATTATTTCTGAAATCAAAAATAGCTATTCAGAAAACGGCAAACCAACGTGCTGCTTAAACCAACATTCAAATGCTTCCGCGCTCTCCAGTGCAGGCGACGTCAAATGTATAACTTTCTAGTCAAGCGGGGAGTTTAAATAAAAACACAGTATTTTGCGTACGTGTCTTTTTGTTGCCGGCGCGAGCTTAACCAGCATTCATTTAACACCATAAAACTTCTAACCCATCGGGGACAAGATGTAATGCCCCATATCGTGCCATACTACAACGTTGACGTCAGGATTTCAGTGTAGCGAGTACATCCTTTTAGCCTCTCAGACCGAACCTAAAACTTCACCGTGAAAAAAAAAATAGTGACTTTCAGTTTGGGTTTCTAGCATGTTAACAACGCTTCTAAGGCAGTTGAGACGGCCCGCCAAAATGGGTTTCTCAACGTATCGCGCTTACCTTGTTGAAAATAAAAAGGAAAGAAAAAAAAACATTTTTGGTCTATCTGCCGTGGCATTCGCAGACAACATCATTGCCATGCTCGACTAGTTAAATCTGGCGCCGACAGATGTCGGAAGCGTCGAGCGCGCCGGAAAAGACGCACGCCGGAGCAGTGAAAAGTTTCAGAGGATCGTCTGCTAAGCTCGACGCTGGCGCGCTCGACGTTTTCGACATCCCTTAGTGGCAGATTTAAGTAGGCGGGCCCGATCATGACGTCGTCTGCGAATGTCATAACAGATACCCCGACACAAGTAAAATTATTAGAAGCCTTGGTTGACATGATGCATTTAAGATGTGTCTCTTAATGTGTTAAACCAATTTTGAGGCAAATCAGCGACTATCGTAATTTTGCCGGAGCTTCATCATCATTACACTGTGAAAACTGCAGGTGGTTTATGCTACGCCGAGTTGGGTGCGCTTCTTCCTGCCACCGGTGGAGACTACGCCTACCTGATTGCCGGTGGAAAGTCGGTGGGCAGGTACGGGGACGTCGTCCCTCTGCTCCACGCATGGTCCTTCATCCTTGTCTCGGATCCAATGAGTGCCGCGCTTCAGGGACTGACCTTCGCGAGCTACACTCTCAGCATCGTGTACCCTAGGTGCGGCCCACCGCACGAGGTGAAAATATGCGTGGCTCTTCTCTTCATAAGTGAGTCCATTTATCTAGCATACAGTCAGTGTTGTACATGTTCCTCAAAAAAAGGAACGAAAGATCGTTCCTCGTTCCTTCTATTTTTTGGAACGCGTTCCCGTTACAAGTTTTATATGGAAAAAAGGAAGTCGTTCCCGTTACAGTTAAAAAATTGGAACGTATCGTAACATATACGTTACATCTGCATTTTACTGATTACCATATTTAGTTAAATCAAGAAAAGTTTTCATTCTGTTTTTTTTATCTACGCCATCAAATGAGAACATAAACTTTGAATGGCGTGACGGAAGGACAACCGGAGAAGGAAACATGCAAGCAGGTTTTCATTGGTTGATATATTCACCTTTGAAAATGTCAGCTTTTAACCCTATTTATGTTTGTGGTGGGCAAATGAAACGAACCAAATGAACTGTTACCCAACATTGCGCAAGCGTTTTACATTAACCTTACACGTTTCGAACTAACAAAGTCCCCTTGTTTGAACTAAACAACAGTTGCTTCTTGATGTTTCTGTGTACAAGAAGGATAAGGATAAAGTTTATTTTCAATGAAAAACCGGCAAACAATCCAGCCCGCTTAAGTGTAGAACGCTTGTATGCGGGACATGGCAGTAATTATATTTATCTTGTAGACATAAATATAATTCACAATTAAATGAATCACAAACACATACGGCACTTAACATCCTATATGATTAGGATAAAAAAGGAGAGAAAATTACAAAAATGGTACTACAAAATTCAACGCGAAATGCAACAACAGATGCAACACTGAAAAACAGTCAGTCAGTCGTAACAAACTAATAACAAATTTATGCGCTACGTAACACCGAATGCAATAATAAACTCAGTCATGGTAACCGAATAGACATCAAACAAACAATTTCCACAAATCAGTATGTACGTACATCTTTTATCGTTCATTACATCACTAGACAGAAAAACACCACTCTTTTATCTCCTTGTTCATCTGCTTCTTGAATGACAGGTTAAGGAGATCTTTAGGTAAGTTGTTAAATATCTCAGGAACATAATACTGTCTTTGTTTTTTTTCCGTAGTTTGTATATATTTTTGGAATGGCATAGGTTTCTGTGTGTTGGAGTGTTTTTATTCTGTTTGGTATGTCTCTGAACTCACTGGAGAAATAGTGGCTGGTTAAAACAACAAATTTAAATACATTTTCAAAAGATAATATTCCGACTGCATTCATTCTTTCTTCAGTTTCAAGAGGCTCATATTTAGACCCATATACTATATTATTAACGCATCTATTTATGATATTATCGATTTTGTGTCAATTGTATTTAGCGCATGTTCCGCATATTGTAATACCGTAACGGAGTGCAGATTCCCCCAATGAAAGGTACACCTCTCTCCTCAAATTGATGTCACAGCCACGTTTCAGCTTATGAAGATATGCTGAGACAACACGAAGTTTTTGTGTAATTTGTTCAATGTGATTACCCCATGAAACATGTTCGTCGAAATGCAGACCAAGTTAGGGTGTTGTTTTAATATTTTCCATTCTTTGGCAGTTGCACTGATGAGACTGTCGATCATGAAGAAATAGAGGAACATCAAATGGAACATGTTTATGAGGGTTTCGAAATCACATCAGTTTAGACTTGTCGCTGTTGACAAAAATATAATTATTTTTAAACCAACTCATTAATTCCACTATATCACATTGTAAAATCGGAGCAGCGAGATTATATTGTTCGTGTGGTAGTATTAAGGCTGTGTCATCTGCGTATTGGAATAGATTTGGTTTAAGGTTAAGATTACCTATACCATTAATGTAAATGTTAAAGAGTAAAGGACCCAGAGTCGATCCCTGTGGGACACCGAATTTCATTTGAATTGGGTCACTTTGACCCTTAAACTTCACCATTTAAAATCTGTTCTTGAAATAATTTTTCAAAAGTGTATAAAATGGCCCCCTGAAACCCATTCTGTATAGTTTAGCTAGCATAATTGAATGGTCTATGGTATCGAATGCTCTAGATAGGTCAAGGAACAGTGCAAGAGCGATTTGAGTATTGTTTAACGAGTGATAAATGATGTCTGAAAAGTTTTCCATAAACAAAGTCGTGTTTTTTTGTTTGCGAAACCCGTATTGGTGAGGAGTGTATTTAAGAGAATTTCTCACAGAATGATGTCATCACTTTCGCTAAATGCTTTTCTATGATATGAGTTAGAGCTGGAAGTATAGATATTGGCCTATAATTTTTCAGTTCTTTTTTTATCCTTTTTTTGTATAGTTGTCTGATGATAGACACTTTCATCCCATCTGGAATATTTCCGCTTTCAAATATGCCATTAAGAATCGCAAGTAAAGCATTTTTCAATTTCTCGAAATTACAGTAAAGGTCCCGCCCTCGCATTAGATCCTGACCGGCTGGCTTCAGTAAAGACATACCAGAAAGTATTTCCTCTAGCTCGCACTCAGTCATCAAAGGCAAATACGCTGATGTCATATTAGTTTTAGTGTCGATAACGGACTCGTCACTTTTATTTATCATGTTTCTTAAACTTTTTACAGTATCAATAAACGTATGATTGAAAGCGTTTCCGGGTGTCTCGAAAATCTGTTGTTTTTCCAAAAGCTTTTGTGATTGCTTCATCAATGTTTTGTTTTGCCTTCAGACCAGCTAACTGTCGTGTAATTTCCCAGGTTCTTTGAGAGTTACCTTTGCATCCTTTGAATTCATTCAGGAAATATTTCTTTTTTGCTAACCGTATGGTTGCTGTTACTTTATTTCTCATTTTTCGAAATTCCTCTCTCAGAACCTGATTACCTGGCTTTTGCTTACACATTTCCCAACGGTTGTCTTTTGGGTAGCAGAGCTCCATTATATATTTATGAATCCATACATTGTTATCGTTTCTTTTTTTGAGTATTTTTGTTTTTCTTGATTTCAAATATATTTTGTGGGAGCGAGGGCCGGCCACCACCACCAGAGGCCGCTACGACCACCCAGAGAACATCTGGGCCGCGCAAACGTCCGGTCGCGCAAGTGGATAAAAGAGGGGGACACGCCCACAGTAGGGGGAGACGGTCCGGCGACACAGGGACGTGTAGGTTGAATGCCCGGCATTATTATACTTTATTACTAACAACCCTTTGATGTTACTTTAATAAATGTAGTTTCTCGTTTTTGGAAACCCCGGCTCCGTGTTGTTCCTCCCGGATGGGCATGCAGCAAGGCAACCCTACCACATGGCGCCCAACGTGGGGCTCGAACCTACGACCCCGAAATTAAGAGTCTCGTGCTCTACCGACTGAGCTAGCCGGGCGAAGTGTACCATCATGTTCCTGCAGTAAAACAGCTCCGACGCCACAATCACTTGCATCTGTCTGCAAAACGAATGGTTGGTTTAGGTCGGGAAGATGCAGACACGCGTTCTCTGTCACTGCCTTTGATAAAGCTGCGAATGCGCTTTGTTGTTCTTCGCTCCAACACCATTTGACGCCTTTTCGAAGGAGGTGATTAAGCGGCTGAGAAATCTCGGAGCAGTAAGGAATGAAATCCCTATAGAATGCAATCATTCCGAGATATCGCTGTAAACTTTTCACGTCATGGGGGCGCGGGTACTCAGTTAGTGCGCGCAGTTTTTCTTCGTTGGGACGGAGCGTGCCGCTATCGACAACAAATCCGAGGAGGTTAATTTTGGGCTCGGCCAGTTGAACTTTCCTCGGATTGATTGTTAGGCCCGCGTTCCGCATCCGCTCAAGCACGTCGTGTAAGTTCCCAGGTTCTTTGAGAGTTACCTTTGCATCCTTTGAATTTTGAATTCATTCAGGAAATATTTCTTTTTTGCTAACCGTACGGTTGCTGTTACTTTTTTCTCATTTTTCGGAATTCCTCTCTCAGAACCTGATTACCTGGGTTTTGCTTACATATTTCCCAACGGTTGTCTTTTGGGTAGCAGAGCTCCATTATATATTTATGAATCCATACATTGTTATCGTTTCTTTTTTTGAGTATTTTTGTTTTTCTTGATTTCAAATATATTTCCGGGAATTTATCTCTTAGGTGTTGGTAAGCAGTGATATGGTCATATTCAGTAAGCAAATTCCGATCATAAGCTTGAATTAATCTGTCAATATTTCTGTTGTCAAAAAATAATTACATTTTCATTTTCCACATACGAGTTATCACCATCCTTTTCTTGGAGTAGTGTTGTTACTATAAAGTAGTGATCAGCAACTTATTTGTTTTGTTTAATAAGTCCAGATAATACCCTCATTTCATTTACTCTTACAATGATATGATCGATACAACTTCTCGTTATACTATCCCCTAAACATTCCTCTCTCGTATAGTCTTGGATAGTATTTTCCAATCCAAATTCAGCTAATATATTTAGGTACTCCGATGATCCACCTCTAGAAAGGTTTTAGCGTCTATGTTGAAATCACCTGCCAAAATCAGGTGAGGGTTATTGTTAATTTTTTTTTAAGAGAGAACTTAATTCTTCGCAGAAGGGAGCTACGTTGTAGGTTGGAGGTCTGTACAGAGCACAGACTGTAAACGACTCATCTTGTCAGTATATTGACGCTACTTTCACTTCTGCAGTAGCAAACGTTGTCTCCAGGCGCTCTGGCACCCAGTCATCCCATACAAACATCAAAACACCCCCTCCTTTACGTTTTTCACGACAAAGAGCTGAAATTATTTAATTTGTATCCTAAACAGGCAGCCTCATCAACATTGATTTCGGTCAATATTAACGCATCTAGGCTACTCAACCTGTCTGACAAGTAGACATTCAATTGATCCCAGTGTTTCTGCCAGGGCCGTACCCAGAAAAAAATTTCGGGGGGGGGGGGGGGGGGGGGGGGGTTTCGGGGACAACGGCGGCCATATTGAAAGTGTCTATTGTCTTATTTTCGCCTATGAATCATGTGCATCGGTGGCATATAATTGAGAGTTACAGCAAACCGGAGAACCGGTCCCGGTTTGGTACCCGGTAGCCGACCGGCGCCACTGCGCGTGCGCAGAGGTGCAGATTAAAATCGGCTGGCTGCCAGTGCACCGACCAGGGCCATACCCAGAAAAATATTTCGGGGGGGGGGGGGGGTCAGAACCCCCTAACCCCCCCCCCCCCCTGGTTACAGCCCTGGTTTCTGCATACTTCTAATATTAACATGTAACAGTGTGAAAGAGTTACTTTCATAATCTGCTTTACTACGTTCTATAAAGTCATCCCAGTCAGGGAATGATTGAAGAAGAGCAAGTGAAGACGAGGGTAAGGCTTCTGGGAGGTCAGTCTGCAAGTTAGTTACAAGGTTGGATTCGTTTTTCGGTTTAAAGGGAGAAGACAAGGGAAGAATGAATAAACGCTAATTTTTGTGCATCTTCTAAGTGACCAATGTTCGCGATACAGGGGTGTGTTCAATGTCTGGTAACCTGCTCTTTTGTTGTAACTGTAGGCCTCTCTATGGAAGTTCAGTGATGGCTGCAATCGGCCTTAGATGGTGTATGAGAATTCGTCGAAGCAAAGAAACTAGCTGAGTTTAAAACGTCCCTCTTTCTGTTTCTTTTCCTTCGACTAAAAGTTTTGCTTTTTGTACCGCAGTTTCGGGCACTGAAAAAAGAATCCATGTCCTCCAGTTCTCCTGCACCCGACTGTTACTAAGTGAGGACCACAAAAAATAAACCCTAAGATAAGCAACCAAAATGTTAACAAGATCCTGCCCTTCATAAAGATATTGTTTTTATACTCTTAGAATTTCCTTCTTAGAAATTCGCAGACCGGCGCACTCCAGAGGAGTGCGCCGGTCTGCGCACTCCTCTGGAATGCGCAGACCGGCGCGGCGGAGGCTACGGCGCGCCAGCTGTGCGCCGTGCGATGTCACTATTCCTCGCGCTTGCGCAGCACGGCTCTTTCGGAGCCACGCGAAACTGCTCAACCTCGGTCAGTGTAGCTCATGCTACAAAAGAAAAAAAAACGATTGAGAATACGAAATTCCATCTGTGAATAATTACAGCCTTGGCCATGGTCATCAACTGCATCTCTGTGAAAGCGTCGGCACGGATTCAAGTCGTCCTGTCTTCCATCAAGTGTGTAGTCCTTACGGCGATCATTATCACTGGCGTCGTCTTCGCATTTAGAGGTGAGACAAATAGACTGCGCTTTAACTGGCCCAAAAATCCCGACAATTATGCTCACCTCGGTATTCGTATTTCAGAAAATCACCTTCTAGACGGGCCCTTCTTCACAAATACCACGGAACCAGGAAACCTTGTCCTTGCTTTCTATGGAGCCATCTACGCCTATGGCGGATGGTATACGAATCGTTTTCTTAACGTAACTGCACTTTAGGAGTAGCACGTGAGATGGGAGAAGTTAGCTGCATTTTTTATGAGTGCCACAAGAAACGGCATTTAGTAGATCAAGGGATCACCTTAGCTTAGCTAAGCGTGGGTAATCTGGGTCAACACTCCGGCCCAATATACCCTAGATGGGATGCACTTGTGCCGCTGCGGTCACCTAACCTTGTCTACGAGAAAAATTTTTAATGAACCATTCGCGATTGTTCGAAAAGAAACTTAAGACTGCGTTCTTCATTTAATAAATGGAATACTCACTAATTAACCAAATTTATTTATCCGCCTTCAAAACCAGATTAAGAATGTCGACACGGACAGCTAGAGAAATGCGGGGCGTGTACTGTCTTTTATGCACACGTTTCTGACTTTCTGATTTTTTCTTCGGATTTTTTATTGCGGTTACTAAAACTTTCGATCTTTTCATTCGCAAATGAAAACAAGTGCCGTAACTTTCTTTTCCCAGGAGACAAATGAGCTACATCGCCGAGGAAATCAAGGACCCCACAAGAAATATCCCTTGGGCACTACTGGGCGGAATATGCACCGTCACCCTCATCTACGTGTGTATCAACGTCGCCTACATGATGGCGCTCGATGCCACCACCATGGCCACAACAGACGCCATCGCAGTGTCTTTCGCTATGGCCACATGGGGACCTCTGGCAGCAAGGATGGTACCGATCTGCGTGTCCGTCAGCTCCTTCGGGCTCTTGTGCGCCGGTTTCTTCAGCAATGCCAGGGTTGTCCTGGCAGCAGCGAGGCAGGGTCACCTACCCCTTGTGTTCTCCTTCATCACTGTGGACACGTCCGTACCGTTGACGTCCATCCTCCTCCGCGGTTCCTTGGCCATCGCCTACACCTTAACTGGCTCCCTCGGGGTCCTCATAGCCGGTCGTGTGTTCGTGGAAAGCCTAGGAGACATTTTCATTGTGTTGTCGTTGTTTGTGCTTCGGTTTACGATGAAGAATGCCCAAAGACCCTACCGGGTTCCCACTGTCCTGGCTGTCTTGAAGCTGCTGGTGTCTGTGGCGCTCGTTGTGCTTCCGTTTCTGAGGCCCGTGCAGTATCTGCAGTACCTGATAATCCTGGCGATATTTGGGCTGAGCGGTTTGTATTACCTCCTCTTTGTACGCTTTAAGTGTGTGGTTCCCGGGGGACGGATGGCGACCGATTTGGTTCAAAAGCTATTGATGGTCGTGCCTTGCGTGAACGAGCTGGAACTCATGTTGAAAGAGAAGTTATGATGATGTGTTCATGAACCTTCTACTTCAGCCACGATTTTCTTGGGAGACTTTATTGTCCTGTAACACTAATTGCATTTACCTTTTTTTATTTCTGTACGTCGTTTTGAATTTGTTGAATGAGGAAAAGATATATTTCTGACAGTCCATAGAGAAAAAAACGTCCCCAAAAGTGTTGAATAAAATAGATTTCGTTAGTTAAAGCACTTAACAAAAAACATTATATTTTTATTTAGTGTTTACTGACGTCATTTAGAGTCGCGTAAAATTCCAGTTTACTGGTTTGCAAAAAAAAAAATTGTATTAGACAAGCTTTAATTTAGCAGGAGTTCGGGATTACTTCCTCGAAATGTCACATAGCATTTTATGCCGTGCCACCATATATGTATATATTGTTGTTTTTCATCATAGATTTTACATAACAATAAATCCGGGCTAGAAGAATCTACATGCACCAGGACCACTTCATAGGTGCGTGGCGCTGTACATAGGTATTCGTGTGTAACCGTGCATGGAACGTTAATATAATGGCTTCGTGCGCTCGGTGATTACCTCGCGTGTTTTCCGATTATTTTGCTCTTACGACAAAAGGAAACTCTCGACATAGACATTCAAGACGGTGGTCACCAGTGCCGTCACTTCGCTTTGCTCAATCTCCACAGACCGTAATACATGGAGATGTACGAGATAGAATTATTGGCTTCATGATAAATGTAAACGTCTGCAGAAGGTGTGTAATAACCTGATAGGCTTCGCAGTTAGCGACGATTCCAAGTGTTTAATGAATGATCGATGTATGAACAGAAGTGGGCCAATGAAAGGCATACGGATGTTAAAATTATTCGATAGTAAGGTGCTATTCTCCCCTATATCTTAAGAAACTCGAGGTGTGGTGAGCTCCCAAAGGCCTCAGCATCTCATTATGGCTCCTCAGTCAGTCAGAGTGCAAGACTGCCCGATAGGAACGCCACAGAATAAACCACGAAGCGAGAGTTAACATTTCCTTGAGCTGTTTCAGCTGTCAAAAACTATACCAAATTTGACATTAAAAAATTGTATAATTTTGCTGTTTGTAGTACAGATACAAATCATTTCATTTTCAAGTTTAATTCCGACCGAATATTAGACTTTGGATGTATATGGGCCTAGATATAAAATGGCTTGAGTTTGGGAATAAATTCGTTACTCGAATGACTGCCTGGCGAGTAAATCTTTTTCTTTTATTATTATTAATGTTTATTTGAGTCGATGTAGGCAGAAATACAATGAAACTCACCACCGTAAGACAGAGTTTCTACGGATATAAAAACAGTTTTGCAAGTATTGAAAATATTTTTCTTTCTAAACTAACAACATAATAGACCAGTGTCCGATATCCTAGCCCCCAGCGATAAAAATGGAAATAATAATCTCAAACGCAGGCTCTTGTAAAGAGGGGGGGGGGGGAAGGGGGGGGGGGCTGCGCATAAAACAATATTTTTGCTTTTTACAACACTCTTGGCGTCGGAGCGGTTCTTGGAGCTTCGTGACTGTGCATTTCTTACGTTCTTGCACTATATACGATATGGGCAAAGGTTTCTAAAAGAAACTGAGCATTTCAAAAAACGCAGCCCCCCTTCTGTGTCATGACGTCAGCATAAACGAACATGGCGGCGCCTATAGAACAGGGCAGACACTGGTCTATACGTGGCGTATTCTGTACACTGTCTCTTGTGTTTTTTGTGTGTGTTTGTTTTAAACATTTAATGACTATACACGAACGCAACTTTGTTAAGTCATGGCGCGCTGGTGGCACGTCAAGCGAACTTCCTGTCTGGGGCTGTGGGTGGAAGTCACCATGCGGAACGTGCATTCCTGCGTTGTTTTGAAAGGAAACAGACAAAAACCTGCCTTCTCATCAAAACGCCGCGACTGGGGGCTGTACCAGAAGAGTACAGAAAGGCTTGAAGGTCAGTTTTTATGTGCTCGGTTCGTTAGAGAACGTGAATATGTGCCATGAAAAGGGAAAACCAGACGCAGTCGGACGACGATTGCTTGGGCGGGAAGCACTTTGGGTTGAATTCACAGATACTTGTGGTCATCAGAATTATTTGTATTGTTCCAATATGAACCCGGGAAAATTGTCAAGTAGTACGGACCACCTGCGGGCTACGTTTGGTGCGTCTTCAAATCCAAACGGCCGCCTGGTCGTTCGAACTGTCGTCTGCTCTTTCAGACGACACCGGCCCGTAGACCAAACGTTGGCCCGCTAATTGTGATAAGAAGTAAGTGCAGGCCTCAAAGATATTTATGCTTGAATGTTGGTTGGGTAAGCAGGCTCGGTGTAAACTGTGGATACAAGGAGCTGTCGATCATTGTTACCATTGGCCATCACCGACTTGTTACGCCTGATTCACTTGGTCCGATTCTGCTTGCGATTCTCAGTATCGACGTCGACCATCTCAGCTACGTTTCACGCTTTTGCAGCCCGAGCGACGTCGCGACTCTAAATTGCGAGCGGAATCTCATTATGTGAATCAGGCTTTAGAGTCCATTCAAAGGCGTCCATGCACGCGGAATGAATCGCCGCACGTCCCATTATTCACGCGAAGTTTTGCGGTGTAACGAGCCTCTGTAATATCGTTGAGGCCGCTCAAGTGGTCAGACATTGCCAGAAAGACGTAGAATCAACAATTACAAGGCGAAAAAGAGAGCGGGGACTCGCACCAACGCCGACAACATCAGATTTCAATGGTTTGTTTATGGGCGACAGTGAGCTTCTTGCCCACACTTCATCGCGCATGCGTGGTGCCGGTGGCGTCCACTAGGGGCGCTCCGGTTTGCTTGTAAACACAAGTTGGTCTACACCAAATTTTACATCACAAGATGGCTCCATCTCACGGTTGTTATTACGAATACCAATCGTTTCAGTACTAAAGTACATCGAACCCAATATTACACCCTAAGTATAAAATGACTTGAGTTTGGGAATCAATTCGTTATTCGAATGATTGTCTAGGGAATAAATATTTATTTTTCATTTATTATTATTATTATTATTATTATTATTATTATTTACGTTTGTTAAAGGCCATGTATGCTGATATAATATAAAGTTCACCACCGTAAAACCCAGTTTTTACGTATTTGAAATCAGTTTCGCAAGTATTTTCAAATTTATATTCTCTAAAAATGACTTCTTTTTCTTTTTTTGGTATACACATTGAAAATGGAGTTCTCAAAATAATAACATACGACCTCTTTTTGTTCGGGGAGGGGGGGGGGGGGGGGTTAAGGTAGCTTAAAGTTACCTGAATATAGAGATGTTTGAGAAGAACTGAGCCTTGGTGTGAAGCAGTTGTCCCAAGCAAGTGGCGATTTATGACTTCTCCTGACTTCTGTACCTTGTCCCCCTTGAGTGTGATGAGCTTCTCCAGGCGGTGGCTCCAGTGTCGCCAATCCGAGGAGAGAGAACGATATGACTCGGTCCTCACACGACTTACACACAGTGTTCTTGACAGCGTCGTCACTGTGGAAATCCCGTCGTTTTAGATGTCGTGTGAGCGAAGGAAACAAATGAAAATCTGAAGGTGCCAAAGCGACGCGTTAGGTAGCAGTATAATTTCCCGTTCATGAGCCTGCTTGACGGCGGAGGCGCCGGGAGTGTGACAGGGCACATTATCTTAGATTGAAATTATAACACGTTATAGTCTTCCAGGTTGTTTATCCTTGGCAACGTCGGTCCGTAATTTCTTGCGAGAGGGTGTAAGAGGGTGTAACAGGATGCAAGAGGGAGCAAATGACACTAAGAGTGCGCAAGAGGGTAGTGCTATAAACTGGTGAAATTTTCCTGTTATACACTAACACACTACTTCTCAAAACATGCCTTACTTATGACAATGAAGATAATTTCTTATTTATCAAAGTAACCACATATTGCAGTAGCAATGTTGTTTTTGCTGTTGTTGGTTTTCTTTAGTCCACTTATCTGGTCACCTACCAACCTATCAAGTCAGACCCATCCCTAACTGGGACGACTCTTGAAGTAGGACAGGTTCACTGAGTACAGGCGTGGCACATGCCGGTATACTTCCCGGTTTTAACCGAAAAACACCAATGAACATCGGCCGGTGTTAAAAATAAAATAATCGCTTACAAAAAATACCTTGGTATGCGAACGCAAGAGGAGACAAGGGACAGATGGTCTCCTATTTCAATGTTAAAAAAATACCGGTTTTTGAATATTCTCGTACAAGCGGCAGTATTCTTTTTTCACCGAAAAGGTCCTACGTAGACGTTCGTCGGACTCGCTCTTTTATTTATTTTTTTTTTTCTACGGTCATCGCGCTGGGTGTATTGTCAGCATAGGTCTCCCAAGGTCTCTTAGCAGTGGATATTGTGTTTTTCTGTCAGAGGTTTTTGCTTTTACCTTCAGTTGATGTCCTCAAGGGTTTGGCCTAATCCCCCCCCCCCCCCCCCCCCCCCCCCCTCTATAGATTTACCCGTTGAAGGCTGCCCTCCTTCTTTGTGGACACTAGTTTTGTTGTTTGAAGTGTCTTTCATATTGATTCGGTCGAAGCGTGCCCGGGGGGCGGACGCTCTTTGAAGGAGGATAACATCGGTGTTTTTACACTTTATTTCAGACTTAAGTTCAACGAAGAAAGAGCGGGTTGGTGAAAATAGAAGACTCAAAAAAGATGAAGAGCATTCAGGAACAAGGACAGACAGCACACGAAAATAAACGTGCTGTCTGTGATTCTCCCTCAGTGTCTTTATTCTTTGATTTTTGTAGCTTAAGTCCAGACGGAGCCGACACTATACGAACCATTGTGACCAATTATTAAGTGTTAAAAGCGCAAGTCTCTGGGCTTTTTACGTTTAAAATTGGTTCAGCTATGACGAATCATGCACAGAAATGATGACCAACAACATGATGGCGCGCTTTCGAGTCTCTCTGTATGGTCCAATCAGCTCGTAGCGTCTGCTGCGTTTGGACGAATGAAGCAAAGTATAGCCTACACTTG